TAAGCCCCCAAAATTTTCCCCGCGTAAATCCATAACTCGGGGTTCTGAGATGCTAGAAAGCTGAAATTTTAGGGGAATGCTCTCCGTCCAAGCAGGTGCTGATGAGCGCAAATCCAGCCCCCGAGTAAGCGTGGTACCCGCGTACGGGCCCTCCAAAATTTTTCCCGCGTAAATTCATAACTCGAGGTTCTGGGAAGCTAGAAAACTGAAATCTTAGGGGGTGTTCCCTGTCTAATTGGGTATTAACGAGTTCAAGCCCTACCCGCGGGCGTGGTACCCACGTACAGGCCCGTGAAAATTTCCTTCCGGGTAAGTTACTCGAGAACGTGAGAAGCTAGAAGACTGGAATTTTGAGCGGATGTTTCCAGACAGTTCTGGCGGCCAATCTGAAATTCTTTTAGCTAGAAGCATCTGCCGAGAAAACCAATGCCGGTAGCGACAAAAACTGCGGGGGACTCTGCAAAAAACGCATCTTCGCACGGACAGCCCGTGCGTTGGCCAATTATTTTTTTTTGATCTGTAAATTTTTGGTTGCAAATTACGACCTAAATGGAGGGCGAAACCTGTGGTCTGTCCAGGGCAGCTAGTGCTGGCTGTTGCTAATATACCGAGTGCCCTCATTTTTCACTGGAAAGGAATTCGGAAAGAGTTTTGGCTTTTGATAAATCATTTTTATTTTTTGGTAAATCTGGCATTTCTTGGTACAATTTTTTTTGTGGTAAATTAGTTTTTTTTTTTCAGTTTTGGTATTTTTGGTTTTTTTTTTTTGCTTGTATTTTAGTTTTTTGACTTTTTGTTAAATTTTGGTAAATTTGGTAAAACTCGGAAATTCTTGACCCCTCGAAAAAGAAAACCTCTAGCACACAATACGCTACTAGCTTTTTCCGTGGGCTGCTGAAATTAATACGTTCCGTCAAAATTGAGAGACTGCTCGACTCGTATGTATTTGCATAGGTCCTCATTGAGTTCCAATTCGTTTGCGAACTCTATTGTTTTTACAAATTTATTGTGCTCGACTGTTGCAAGAAATGAATTTTTGGTTTAATTTTAGGTGTATTGAAAATTTTGTACAGCACAGAACAATGAAACGAGCAAGGGATGTCCGCGACCAGCTTGAGGGTCTACTCGAGAGAGTTGAAATTGAACAGGTTTATCTGTAAATTTGCGATTTCCTGTATGTGTAGATTTTTGCAATTTTTCGCCCATTTTGATCGTTTCTTTAAGCTGCTTTTGACCAGGAATTTTGTGCAATACAGGACGATGAACTACAGATAGTCTTTATGCATTAACATCGTCACACCTGTATTCGCTAGTGCAGTAGCATTGCGAGCTATATTAGTCTCGGCAATCATTTTTCCATCAAATTCACTGTTATGGCTACGTCTGTTCGTTGCGCGCATTCACATTCAGTATATATCTGTTAAGGTATCCAACAACGATTCAATAGCAATTCGGAAAGCGATCACTGCTGGATATTTTTATAACTGCGCAAAGCTGGACAGTAGCGGACATTATAAGACGGTGAAAAATAAGCACACCGTTCACATTCATCCCAACTCGTCATTGTTCGAGGAGACCCCACGATGGATGATTTACTTCGAGCTCGTTTTCACATCTAAGGAATTCATGCGTGAGGTGAAACCGAAATTTTGATTCTTTTTTCACATAATTTTTTATGCGTTTTCCAAGCAGCGCTGGAGCGCCACAGCAGGTCCCAAAACTTATATTGCGACGATCCTTTCTATGTGCGTGTGTGTTTTCCACTGCCCGAGCATTTCTACTTAACAGCCACGCAAGCTTTGATGCTGAAATTTTGCCAATTTGTTCCCAGGCCAGGTGGCACCCCAGGAACTGGGCATTAACTGTCACATGCGCTCACGTTTCATGCACGGGCACGTGAAAGTTTTGGCGGTAGATTGCTAGCCGTGGAACTTCGAAAGCTGGAAAGCTAGAATTCTGAAGGAATGTCCCCTACTTATGTGCGACTAAGAGATTTCAAACTCAGCTCTTCTTTTGGGTTCTTTTTCGCGCACTAGCAGGTTCTCGTTTGTCGGGCCACTGAAGTCGACATGTACAAACCGACGCATCACACAGCTGCATAATTAACTCCCTGAACCTCGAGGGCCAGTATGTCACAAATTCTAGCTACTGGTATTCCTTATGATTCTACCACAGCACGAAATAATGCAAAAACGCAAAATCTCATCGACTCACTTGGTTTAGATCAGAATTAACTTTTTCACCATGCCATCATTAAGCTCCCCGAAATCATAAGGTATATTCTTTCCGCTCGGGAGTTTCATTCGAACCTGTCTTTTTTGTTTTCTCATTA